CCCCCTCACCCACTTTTACTTAGCTTGCCACTCTGCGTCAGTCTCCTGCTCGCGTGGTTTGTGTGTATTTGATGCAGTGCATCTCGCAAAGTGAATCAGAAAAATGACAGCATGTAGAAGTTGTTTTAATCTCCAGCGTGGCTCTCTTTTTTCCAGTAAATGAAAAGGTTGGTTAACCCCCACTGGCTTATTGAGTCTAAGCTAAGAAACACAGTGAGGGTTATAATGAAATTGAATGCCAGGGAGCAAATATGTTGGCATCTGTTGAAGTCATATATAAAATGTATTTTCACTTTGAAATTAGATCTTTTCTTTTGAGGGGATGTAATGAATGTTCATGAAGCTATTATGCTTTAATGTATGATCAATTTTATAGTGAAACAGTTGAGTCCTCTGTTGTCACCCCTTCCTGCTAAGCAATAGAAAGCCATAAAATTACTTTTATAGGAGCCACAAATTTTTTCACCTTGGCTCCCCCAGTTAGCAGATGGATGCGTTAGAAGCAGCAAAAGACACCTGCCAGCTTACAGCAGCTACAAGTCAGGGAGTCTGTCAGCTCTGGCAGCCCTGAAGCCAGGATGCTGCAACAGGCAAAGGAGGGAGTCAGCAGCAGCAGCAGCAGCAGCAGCAGCAGCGTGCCGGATTCATTAACAATGAAGGAGCTGCTCAACCAGGCTCTGCTCCTGTGTTTGCAAAACAAACGGGACATGTGAGGGTTAGACTGTGAAGAAATTAATCTGTGAGGTAATCAGCAGTGAGTTGAGAGGAGCAGACTGAACGGTGTGTGTGTGTGTCTCACTGCACCTCAAAACTGTAGACCTGTGTGTAAATAAGGAACCTTTAATGAGCCCAGCTGTGTCTTATGGTATTGTATGTGTGTCGTATAAAGCGTGTGTGTGCGTGTGTGTTTCCCTGGCTGGAAGCTGTCAGAGCCACATGCTTACAAGCTGTGCCGGTTCATTTGAACTAAATCTAATTGGATACCCTGGACATCACAGCATGGATGCAATATTTGATAATTCCAAGATCATATTGTTGGAAACAGTGTATGTCCTGAGTAAAAACAGCCTCCAAAGTCAATACGTCGCCCCCTTCCTCCCTCCTCTCCCCTCCCCTCCTTCTCCTCCCCTCCCTCCCTTTTGCATCCTTTTCTGTTCCAGGATCAGTAATGGGAGTCAGTATCCAGGAGGAGGCGAAGGGGGTGCGGGGCTCCTCGCCAAGTCCTCGCCCCTCCTCCCCGAATGCGGCACAGCTGCCTTTCAGAACCCCGCCGCTCCAGCCCATTCATCCTGGAGAGCCCAAAAAAAAAAAAAAAAAAAAAAAAAAGTGGCTATTTATTAGAATACTTGTTTTGTATTGTTCTGTGCCACACAAAAGACGCTTCATTATGTTAGAAGCAAGCCCCTTTCGCAGAGAGAAACAATAACTTGGAATTGTCTTTTTTAGAGTGTATAATAAATGTCATTTCTTCTTGTCTCTGCCCCTCAGTGTGTGTTGAGTGGTGGGTTTGGGCACCGGGCATGGATGGCCTTGGCACTCGAGCGGCCAGATTGTAGTGGGAGTAGCGGTCTTACATGAAGCTTTGGAGGGGTTTAGGACGGCTTTAGGAGTATGGAGGGAGAAATCTGCCCACTTTGTCTGGAGTAGAGGGAACGAGGGGAACGTGCGTAAGTTTGCATATGACAATTCCGTACGCAGGAAAGACAATTTATATAAATATTTAACCTGTGGTTAACCTGTCTGTTGTGCGTAAAATCGTTTTTGTCCAAACGCGATGTAGAAATAATGTTGCAAAAATTAGCAGGGCAAAGCGAATTTGAACGCTTTCTGATCTCAGTGATTGCGCCTACTGGAATAAATGTCTTTGTTGACAAGCTTTATTTCGGAGCGTCTGCGCTCCGCTGTGTTCAGTTCAGTGCAGATAATATGTGTTTCCAGCTGCAGGCTGTCGCTTTATTTTAGGACAAGTGAGCTCCACATGGGTTTGGCTGCACAGAGCGCACAGTTCTGTGGCTCGTGATGCTACCAGTTGCTCTCCAGCCGGCTCAGTTTGATTTTCTCGAAGTGACATTATCGGCTTCTGATCTGTTCCGGACTAAGGGGTTATCATCTGTAGCACCTTTATTTGGCTGGAGTAACGAAAAGAAATGTTGCATGCTGTGAAATATATATTATGAGATGAAAAATTGTTCCACTGGTTGGCGGCTGTCACTGTGACAGTACATACGTTAAGTGATTTTCTTGTTTCTACTTTTCAGTAGGCGGGGGAAGCAGGGTGGGGGGCTGATCGTCACATCTGTAGATTTTAGGGTGTGTGAATTGAAGCTCAGAAGCAGGTGCTTTGTCTTTTAGGCTGGGTTAAATAATTAACCTCGGTGTATGATCAGCAGGTGATCAGAACTCCTTTTTTCTTCCCCCAAACTCACACCAGCCCTGTTCCAAGCGCGCTGGCTTGTGCGCACTGGCACATCCACGCAGCGCAGCTTCTTGGAAAATGTTGTCTCCGCACAGGTTAACTGCTTCAGAGAGAGAGAAAAAATGTAAATAACGCAGATGCAATCAGTGTGGAGTTTTTGTGCTTTAGGGTTATATATTTTGCGAGAGGTGGAAGAGTTTAGAACTAAAGAGAAAAATGGCACTCCCGTTGCGCACGAGTCTGGACGTCTGTGATTGTATTTAAAATCATTCACCTATTTTTTTTAAAATATCTATTTGTTGTGGGGATGGGGGTTTGGTGTGGAGGGGATGCTGGATAACTGCTTTGACCCCTGGCCCCAGTCGTGCACCATCATCACAGCGCGCACACACACATCCTGTTACAGAGGCCGCGCACAAAGGAGCGAGGAGGTTTGAAAAGAGGTTTGTTAAAAGAGGAGTGACTGATGGGGGGATGACAGAGAAAGTAAACAGGGGCCACCGGGGTCCCGGTGTCACCGTAAAGGCTAATCCTCTGTGTACAACCTTAAATCCACTCAACAACGAAGATAACGAACAGTAATCATAATAATATTAATAGATTTTTCTGATTACTCACGGCAGATTTTTTAAAAATACACCATAAACGAGATAAATGAGATTTTTAATTAGTGATCTAATTGTTTAAACATTAAATTGTGGCTGCATTAGTGCTTTATAACGTTTGCTTGCATTTATATAGACTTATATTAAGGCAGGGATCAGGATTTTATGAAAAACGAAAAGTCTGAAAATGTATTTGAAATAACAAATGTGCCCAAACCTAGTTTACAATGGCTTAAAATAATTGTGCTTAAATCTAATACATTTAGGCTACTTTGTTTTTCTTTTTTTAATGACTGTCATGTGTTAAGTAGTGTTAATATTTTCTAGTAAAAGCTGTCAGTGTTATTTCCAAATCTTTATTGGGAGAAGCCAGTGTACCGTCAGTGTTGTTCTTTTTTTTTTTTCCTAATTTTTTTTGGTTTGTTTGTTGTGTGATCGCTCTGCTGGCACTCACCTCCCTCTCGCTCTCCCGGTTGCCATCATTATATTGTCATCTTCCTCAGGCCTTAAGCCACATTGGACCACTGGAGACGTTTATTGACCACTGTTAACATCCCGTTAACCCTATTACAGAAAAAAAGACGCGTGTATCCGTCCGAGTGATCCCGCTCCCTCAGGCCCTGAACACAGAA